ACAATGACTTGCAATCGATGAAACATCTCCGGAATGCTCTCATCATCCTTCATCTTGAAGCTTGTCAATTTGTCCTTGAGGCACTCTTCACCGCCGGTGTGCCCTCATATGTTTCCTCCAATCTCCTCCATACCTCATTTGCTCTTTCACAATCTTTGATTTGCTCAAACACCTTGGAATCAATGGCATTGTATATGGTGTTGAGAGCCATTGTGTTGCATTGCTTGTTGGTCTTGTCTTGGTTAGTGGGATTGTTGGGGTCAATGATAGCATAATCATTCTCGGTCACTTCCCATACTTGATCATTGATTGAACCAAGATACATTCTCATCTTTCTCTTCCAATAATCATAACTTGTGCCATCAAAGAACAGTGATTTTCCCCCCACATGGTTGAACACAACTTGAGCCATAATTTTGACACCGAGGTTGTTAAGCCTTTAATCAAACGGTGACCACAGCTCTGATACCACTTGAAAGGTCCTAATATGGCTAGAGGGGGTGAATAGCCTATTTAAAAATCTACAAATCAACTAGAGCAATTTGATTAGTATGACAAATAGCGTAATGCAAACTTGCTCTAGCTCTACAAGGGTTGCAAGCCACCTATCCAACAATTCTAGTTGCAATGATTACTTAGGCACACAAACTTGCTATGTAACTACTCACTAAGAGCTCTCAATCTTGCTACTCTAAAGAGCTTAACTAGATGAATGTAAATAATAAAGCAAGCTCTCAATTCTAATTACACTAAAGAGCTTGTATCAACTAGTTTGCAAGAATGTAAATAAGTGAGTAGGGTGATTACACCGTTGTGTAGGGGATGAACCAATCACAAGATGAATATATAGCCAATCACCGGGAGAATGCCAAAGACAAGAGACAATCGATTTTCTCCCGAGGTTCACGTGCTTGCCAACACGCTACGTCCCCGTTGTGTCGACCAACACTTGGTGGTTCGGCAGCTAAGAGGTGTTTCACAAACCTTGTCCACACGATAGGACACCGCAAGAACCAACCCACGAGTGAGGTAACTCAATGACACAAGCAATTTACTAGAGTTACCTTTCGGCACTCCGTCGGGGAAGGTACAACTCTCCTTACAATCACCGGAGATAGCCACGAACAATCACCAACTCGTGCCAATCCTCCACCACTGCTCCAACCGTCTAGGTGGTGGCAACCACCAAGAGAAACAAGCGAAATCCGCAGCGCAACACGAATGCCAAGTGCCTCTAGATGTAATCACTCAAGCAATGCACTTGGATTCTCTCCCAATCTCACAATGATGATGGATCAATGATGGAGATGAGTGGGAGAGCTTTGGCTAAGCTCACAAGGTTGCTATGTCAATGAAAATGGCCAAGAGAGTGAGCTTGAGCCGGCCATGGGGCTTAAATAGAAGCCCCCTCGAAATAGAACCGTTGGCTCAATAATTGGGCTGACTGCGCATCGACCGGATGCTCCGGTCAGATGCACCGGACGCAGCACCGGACGCTCCGACCGTGAATACCGGACGCATCCGGTCTGCCTACCGGACGTGTCCGGTCACTCCCAGACCGCCACGTGTCCCGTTCAAACCCAAGTAACCGTTGTACCTCACTGGCTGACGACCGGACTCTCACACCGGACGCAGAAACACAAATGACCGGACGCTGAGCCGCCAGGTCCGGTCGAGTCCAATAAGCCACCAGGGCCGACCGGACGCGTCTGTTAGAAACTGACCGGACGCTGAGCCTCAGCGTCCGATCGATTACAGTAAGCATCCATGCTCGACCGGACGCGTCCGGTCACTCCGAACCGGACGCTGCCAGCGTCCGATCAACTATACTGTCGAACACCATTTTTCTGAATTACACCGGACGTGTCTGGTGTGGTGACCGGACACGTCCGATCGCTGAATTCGTCGCCAAATACCGGACGTGTCCGGTCACCATACCGGACGTGTCCGGTCACTCTGTAACCAGCGCGACTAACTCCTTTTCAACTCTATCTTCTTCACCCTTGTTCAAATGTGCCAACCACCAAGTGTATCACCTTGTGCACATGTGTTAGCATATTTTCATAAATATTTTCAAGGGTGTTAGCACTCCACTAGATCCTAAATGCATATGCAATGAGTTAGAGCATCTAGTGGCACTTTGACAACCGTATTTCGATACGAGTTTCACTCCTCTTAATAGTACGGCTGTCAATCCTAAATGTGATCACACTCGCTAAGTGTCTCGATCACTAAAACAAAATAGCTCCTACAATTTATACCTTTGCCTTGAGCCTTTTGTTTTTCTCTTTCTTCTTTTCCATGTTTAAGCATTTGATCATCACCACGCCGTCACCATCGTCATGATCTTCGTCATTGCTTCATCACTTGGAGTAGTGCTACCTATCTCATAATCACTTTGATAAACTAGGTTAGCACTTAGGGTTTCATCAATTAACCAAAACTAAACTAGAGCTTTCACCCGTCGGGCGGTGTGCGGCGAGTGGGCGTGTGCGGCCAGGCAATGGAGCCAAAGACTGACAAGTCCAGAGCTATGATTTGGTGTTGCCTAGGTACAAAATCATAGCTCTGGACCTATCATCCGCACACGCCCAGTCACCACACACCGCCCGACGGGCCCATTGTTAGCCTTCTGCCGCCGCCGCACCCAGCCATCCGCTAGAGTTGAGAGAGAGAGAGAGGCGGGTCTTCGGCTCCATGGTCGGCTGCTTTCACTAGGCGCGTGCTCGTGACGCCAGCCAAGCCACGTGCGCCCGCGCCAAGCAGAGCCGCGTGCCTGGCTGCGCACCCACGTCATGCTAAGCCGCTCGCGCCCGCGCCGCTTCCTCCGCCTGGCCACACGCGCCCGCCCGACGGCCCGACGTTGTCCTTCCACCGCCGCACCCAGCCGCCCGCTGCCTGCTAGCGTTGAGAGGGGTGACCCTGAGAGAGACGACCGAGAGATAAGGGGTAAATTTGTCTTTTCACAGGGCTTTTGTTAATTTTTAATTGCTTTAATCCGGATGTAGATAACTGAGTTAAGAATTGGGGTAAACGGGGCATTCGTTTTGGAAAAATAGGGGTAAAACACAAAGTGGAAGAAAGTGAAGGTAAAATCACAATTGGGGTTTGAAATAGGGGCAAAAATGCAATATTCGGAAAGACAAACTTATCATCTTTCAACTTTTTTAACATCGTTACCTGCTGTTCACGGAGTAGGGGTAAACTGAACCTTCGTTTTGGAAAAGCAGGGGTAAAAACACAAAGTGAAAAAAAATAGAGGTAAAATCACAATTGAGGTTCAAAATATGAGCAAGAACGCAATAGAAAAAAAAAAGAGCCCATACATCATGGAAATCTTTCCTATGGCTCGCGCGTCCTCTCACTCACTAATCAAGGCGTTTTCTAGCAGGGCCTTGTTTAGGTTCTAAGTTTTTTCACTCTCTCTTCATCACATCAAATCTTTGGACACATGCATGGAGTATTAAATGTAGATAAAAAAATAACTAATTACACAGTTTGATTGTAAATTACGAGACAAATCTTTTAAGCCTAGTTAGACCATGATTGGACAATAATTATCAAATACAAACGAAAGTGCTACAGTGCCAAATACGAATTCCCAACCATCATCTAAACAAGACCTAGGTGTAGGTGTTCTAGATGGATTGACAGGCCATCAAACCACTGAGTCAACACACAACATGAGCGTGCCATCAGGACATGTCAACTCATGTCACTTTGTAAAGTAGTTAGCTCTTATTTACTCTAAACAACTATGTTTACTACAAACCAATACTTTCCTATATAAACCAATACTTTCCTATGTTATTAGTATTCATATGTTCCAAACACTAATTCCTATAAAAATCCTATATTTTTCAATCCTCTCTTTCATACCTCTATTCATTTTTTATTTCTGTATTTTTTTATCATTCATATGTTTTACATTCCTCTGTTCCAAACAAGCCCCTGGCATGTTTCGACTCGATACAGCCTAGTCTACCACACTGCAGTTGGATACCATTGTCCTGTCCGTTTAGGCTGGTTTGGCTTATAAGCCATAACTGAAAGTACTGTAGGCTGGTTTGACGTGAGAGGAAAAATATTGTTCGTTGACTGATAATCCATGAGTCCATGACTTATAAGCCAAATACGACCAAACGAACAGGCTGCATACCATTAAAGGCCACACAATTTACCCCTAAAGCAAACAGATCCTACAAAGGGTAGGCGGTAGGGATGCTATACCGCCGATTGGCCATTGCTCACATCCACAGTTCAGCCCCACACTGCAGTTGGATACCAAACCATTGAAGGCCACACAATTTACCCCTAAAGCAAACAGATCCTACAAAGGGTAGGCGGTAGGGATGCTATACCGCCGATTTGCCATTGCTCACATCCACAGTTCATTAGCTCACTACAGTCCTGCAAATTAAGGGGGTACTGCTTCACTGAAAGAGACCAGAGTTGTAAGTGCATATGCACAGATGAAATGAAAGTGCAGAATGTCATATCTAGAGGGCAGCAGGACACATGAGATTATGAGAAAAACTGCATGTCAAGGGGAAAAATCAGTAAGCATTGTATTAACCACATGTCCATAACAGCAACAACCGTGACCAACCAATCAATAACATTCCCCCATTCTTCATTTTCTCAATTTTGTATGGAAGCACCAACAATTCCATCAGTTCTATAAACAAAGGCACATGCCATTCAACTCATTGCTACTAATTACAATGCCTATTAGCTTCCGTATTCCCACAGTAAGCTCTCTTGGCTTCCAATAATGCTAGTGTGCACTAAGCCCTTGAAGCCATGACACCAAAAAAATTCTGGAAAGAATAAACCCATCTCTCACCTTGGCCATGTGTTCATACAAGAGGTGCAAAAATGCTTGCTCCTGAAGCCGATTCCAGGAAGTTCTCGAGACATGGAGAGCTCCTCTGTGCAAAATGAGACAAGCTCAACGCTTCGACCGCGGGAAGTGAAGCCTTATGCTTTGGATGCTACTGCTATTGCTTGCAAGAGCTGTTGCTTGACTTTGATTCTTCCAAAATCTGGTTTATATATGTTCGGAACTTCTCAGCTTGAGGGCCAGGTCTTACAATGTTGACGTTGCTCCACTGGGAGCAAGGATCACTGAACCACCTCCTTCTACCTGTGCACCACGCACCAGGAACAGGTCTGTGACGCCAACGTCGAAGCACTTTATCATCAATCTTGTCCAACAGGGGTTCATTCTCCTTAAACTTCCGGGCAAAAGGAACCCCACTCCCTACTAGCTCATCATAATGTGTAACATTTAGGAAATGGGGCTCCATCTGAGGTGGATTGTCCCACACCATATACCGCAAGTCGTTGTTCACTGTAAAATTGCGGAAATCCGAGTTGCATGCAACCGAATGGAAATACCCCTCTAGAGGTAGCATCACGTTTGTGAAGTACATGAGGAGTGTTCTAGGGAGATTCTCCCAACCAAAAACACAGTACTCAACAAAGCGTCTGTTTAAAATGACCCATGGAGAACCTAACAGAAAGGGAATGCATGTGTTAGAAAACCATTTCATCAAGCGGGTGAAGAAACAAAGTGCAAGTAAAGAGAAATGCCTGTGAAAAATTTGAAACCATCAGGAGTGTCCCGTTTCTCTGTGGCTTGGAAGAACTGATTCCTCCCTGCCAAGTATATTCCGGCATCTACTATAATCGGTTGCACTCTCTGAGACCTACAAAAGAAGTATACTGGTGAAACTAACAGCAGTGCACTGTGTACCATTCACTATTGCTATGTTCAGATAGAACATACTCTTTCCATCCAATGTCACTGGTGTGATCAATAAAGTTGAGGTGCCTTGGAAAAGAGGAGAAAACATGAATCAAGTCTGCAGCAAGGGACAAAAACAAAACAGAGAGTCATGAACAGGAAACTCAAGAACCCCTAAGAGGTGTCAGTCGGGATACAAAAGCCAAAAGCAAAAATTAGAACATGCTAGCATCTATTAAAAACAAAATTACACTTCAATAAGAAAGGGCGAGAACTACATGTGACATAGCGGAAGCAGCACATAACACAGATCAAATTACAATACTTACCATGTACAGTATAACATAAAAAAAGGCAATGTCATACAGGTAGTGTCAGAGGAAATGAGGAAAAAGGACAACATAAATCAGAGCATCAGACTGCATCCTGTGTTGAGAATTCAGTGGTGCACTTGTTAAAGCTCTCTCAATTGTTCATTAAAATGAAGGGTTAATCAGTTGCTCTCTTAGTTGTTCATTAAGACGAAGGGTTAATCCCAGCTAGATGGCACAAACAAAGCCACAGCAAGAGTTGCATAGCTTGTTCCTGACTATTAGAGTCCTCATATAAGGATGAGAGAGCATAAATTAGTCATGGAGTGGTTGAGCTGGTATGGTACCAAAATAGAGAATGAAGAAGACAGCATGCCAATCTAGTAGTTGCACTATATATCTCCACCTAAGGCGGCTATGGCACAACAGTCCAACAGGATTCCAAACAAGCAAGTTCTTCCAACATCACCTAAACGTAGCAGCAGCAGCAGCAGCAGGCCACATCCTAATCCGGGTGGGGTAGTGGGTCTTTGGTCCTTTCAGGCATATTTATGCATTCAATTATGCTACTTGACAGATAACATTAAACACCACTTAATACAAGTCAGCAACATGCTGTGAAGAATACAAAATTGACTTTTGTAGCTACGGCTCAACCGAACAGTGGCAGTTGCTCCCCTTGCAATTTCCTGATCTGTTCGTACAGCATGCTTTGCCTCCAATTCAAGAACGGAAATGGTCGGCAAACGCAATTTCGAGTCATTGGTATCCATATCGACTAAGTAAAAGAGCTCAGATTTACCTTAGATCCGGACAAGTCTGTGAAGCAAAACTGCTACTCAAACGGATCGTGCTAATAGATGGGAATCGAGCATTTGAATCTTACCGTCCTGGGTGAGAAGGGGGTAGTCGGCGGCGTTGAGCGTGACGAACCAGTCCCACTCCGCATCGAGCCGGAGCATCGCGGCGGCCGCGCGGAGCGTGGCGGCGAGGCCGGAGGAGCCCATTGGGGTGCCCGCAGTGGGCCTGCCCACGACATCGACGTTACCGAAGGCGCGCACGGCGGGGGCGGCGCGCGCGACAGCCGCGGCGAGCTCGGCGCGCTCGGAGGCCGGCGCGTCGGCGGAGAGGTGGAGCAGGTAGCGGTTCCTGGGGTGGTAGACGGCGAGGAGCAGCCGCAGGAGCTTCCTGCCGTCGCCTCGGCCGCCCACGAGCAGGTAGGCGAAGGAGGGCGGCGCGGCGGCGCCCCGGCGCACGTAGGAGGGCGGCGGGAGGCGCGCGAAGAGCGTGGAGGAGGCGGAGAAGCCCGAGAGCGCGGAGAGGAAGAGCAGGAGCGAGACGAAGGAGACGGAGACGAGCGGGAGCAGCCACTTGTCGGCGGCGCCCATGGCTGGCTGCTTGGTGTCGGCCGGCGGGCAAGCGCGCACGCTGAGTTGGTGGTTGGTGGTGGTGACGCGCCGCGCGTCACCGCCGCCGCATTCGGGGCTAGGGCTCCGGCGACGACGGCCGGGCGGCGGCGGGCGGGGGGATTAGGGTTTGGCGAGATCGCATCGGGGGAGAAGGGAAAATAGCGAGATCGGGGTGGCGCTTGGCGCCGCGCTGCTGTATTTTCTGCTCGCGGCTCGCGTGCGTTTCTCTTGCTTGGCAATGGGAAGACGGGGGGAACGGGAAGGGGAGGCGGGACGCGAGCGTGACGCGCGTCGCTTTGTACCACCGCAACACGGGGGATCGCTTCCGCGGCCCCGGCTATGGGCCTGTGGCACACTGGTAACTGGGCACCACGTTCCCATGGGCCCAGCAGTCATACGGACGATGTAGACCTTGCCGCCTGGGTTGCGGGAGGTTACGGCACGGGTCCCGCGCGGTCAGAGCGACGACAGTCACGACGGCACACGCAGTAAGTCATGGGTGGAGGGGGGGGAGGCGCGCGGCCGAGCGAACGGCGCTTGCTTCCTTCTCACGGTTCACACTTCACCTGCCTACCCAGCCACACGACACTGACGCGTGGGCCACGGAGGCGTGGTGACGATCGGAATAGTGGGGGGGGGTAGGCAGCGGGTAGCTGGGGAAGTGGGTGGGGTGGGGGGGGGGGTGGAAGGCGTCACGTCAGGGTGGACGTTGATTCCACTTGGTGGGGCCCAGATGGCAGAGGCGCGCGGGCGAACAGCGGCAGCGCTGACGCTTCTGGACTCTGGAGAGTGTGGCGGCGTCATGGGTCATGGCCAGCTTGGGATTTTTAATTCGTTATTACAGTATTAAACACAATCTCCCGCGTCTTGTCTGGGCCGCACAGCACTTAGCGAAGCCTAGCTGTAATTAAGAACCTTCCGTTGGTTGCTTCGGCCGCTATCTGCTTTTGAGCTTCTTGCTTGTACCGCACACCCCCTGCTTCTCTTTTTTTTTTTGGAGATTATAAACCTACTGCAGAAGACTTTGTACGGTCAGCGTGTTCGCTTATTGGTTCAGTCAGGGCTTATTAGTCAGTCAATAGTATTTTTTTCTCACAATAAATCAGCATCAATTGGGTTTATCGGCCTAGAAACCAACCAACGAATAGACCAGGTATCTAAAGCCAGGCGACCCGGAAGAAAGTCAGCTTTTAGAATCCGGGTTTCAGTGCAGTGCAACGACTTTACAGGTACGCACCCTGTTGTCGTGGAATGTGTTGCCTTGTGTAGACAAAAAAAAAAAGATGAATCATTTGGTCATGTTGGCTTGAACTTATCGGCCTGACTTATCAATTATTGTACAATGTTTTTTCTCTCACAATAAAATAACATCAGCCTGGCTTATCAGCTGAACAGCTGACATGATGCAGTTTTCCTCAACGATCTTTCTCGTGATTGAAGTACGCTTTCACACTTCCTCTCATTGTCATAACAAAAGCAGTAGGCGCTGGATGTTCTACTATATGGATAGTGATGCAAGATTTATCTTCTCTATCTAGATTGTTTGTGTTGGTTGGCTCAAGGCTCGTCTAACTAAAAATAAATTTATGTCAAATTAGGCAAAAGTATGATTAGCACAATAAGCTAAATTGGCTGGCACAGAACCAATTCTACTTATAGGAATAAAGCATGCTCACCATTTCTTGCAACGCATTCGCTCATTCCGAGACGGAGAGCCTATTCACTTCTTGGTTTCTGGGCTGATAAGCCCGACTGATGCTGATTTGTGGTAAGAGAAAAACACTGTTGACTGACTGATAAGCTCTGTCTGAAACCAACAAGCGAAAGGCTGAGAGAGCCATAGAGGGAAAAACAGGTTTGCTATCATGCATGATTTGGTCCCATGAAAGGAAATTTTGCTCTCTTTTTTTAGTGGAATGAAAGGAAACTTTGCTACGATTACGAAACGAACCGAGCTGCGTAGTTAGCTCAAAGTCACGGCCTCACGGGTCGATATCGAATGCCCACCTGGCCACCAACCTTAACCCAAATCGCTGGATCACTGCTTCACAAACGAGCCCAACGAAACTAATCTTACAGCCCTGGCCCGCAGCAGAAAAGGCCCAGTTCAGCAACACATCCAGCAATCCGTCTCCTTCCCCATCTCGTCGCTCAAATGCCGCAACAAACTCACCACCACCACACGAACTGCTCTCCTCAGTCCTCACACCCCGCAGAAGCGCAGAGGCTAAACCCCCTCTTAGACCCCGTTGCCGCTTGTCATTCTCCGCGTCGCTCTCCGCCGCCTCCACGGACGTCCCGGAACCTTCTAGATTGAAGAGGGGATAGCCATCGGCGTCAGCGTGTGTGATGGAGGTCAGGGGGCTGGGGCAGCTCCTGGCGGCGCTGGCCGCGGCGTTCTTCGTCCGCGCCATCGCGGGACCCGGCCCCGCCCTCCTTCCGCCGGCGGAGGACGACGCGGAGGCCGGCGAGGGAGGTGGCGGTGGCGTGCCGCCCGTGACCATCCGGTGGGCCCGCATCACCTGCGCGTTGAAGAACAAGCGCGGGGAAGTGGTGAGTCGCTGCACCGCCGCCACGGCACCACCTCTTCCCATCTCGCCGCAGCCGCGCGCACGAAACCCTCGCATTGCCCGTTTGCCCCTCTGTCCGTCTGTCATCCTCTCATGACTCATCCTCTCGTTCCGTTTGCCACGTCCACGTGTACTCGTTTGCGTTGACTCGTTGACCCTGTATATTCTACAACAAGTTGCATAATTTGTATGTACCATTATACAATTGTACAAATATCAGGAGGTAACTGGAGTGGACTGATAGATGTTTGTGGCATGCTGTCTAATTGCCAATTGCCAGGCAAGGTTTCTGCTGTCAAATGTGTCAGGGGAGGCGAAACCGGGGAGGCTGTTAGCACTCATGGGACCATCGGGCTCTGGCAAAACAACTCTGCTCAATGTGCTAGCACGGCAGCTCACGGCATCGTCTTCCTTGCACCTTTCCGGGTTTCTGTATGTCAACGGTCAGACTATCTCGAAGGGCGGATATAAGTAAGTTGTATTCATGCAGCTGGGGTCTTACTTCTGCTCTTGCTTGTGGAGAAGAGCTAATGACTACTTTCTTGCGCAGGATTGCTTTTGTGAGGCAGGAAGACCTGTTCTTCTCACAGCTTACGGTAAAAAGCGGGAGGCGCTGTCACTTGCTGCTGAGCTCCAGCTTCCTGACTTGTGGGCTCCTGAGAGGAAGGAGAGATATGTCAATGATCTTTTGTTTCGTCTGGGGTTGGTGAGTGCTAGCATTTTGGTTAGTGTTTGTAGAAATTGAAGTGAACGGTTCCGAGGACAGTCTTAATGGTTGGATTGTTGACTAGGTCAATTGTGCTGATTCTATTGTTGGTGATGCAAAAGTTCGTGGAATAAGTGGGGGTGAGAAGAAGCGCCTCTCGCTTGCATGTGAATTGATTGCTAGCCCTTCAGTGATCTTTGCGGACGAACCAACAACAGGTGTTTAAAACTGATTTAGTCTTGGCCTTCCCTACTTGAACAAGGGTTTTCTTTATTACTTCTAAATGTGGTTCTAATTTATACCTGAGACATTTTGCATGTAGCTAATATGTTTTATTGTTGCGTTCACGTCTTACAAATACAACAGTTCATGTCAGATATGACACCATGATCAAATTAAAATAAATTGTCTGTATTATCAAAATCATTTATGTTAAAAGCACATTAAATTTGTAGTCGTGAAGCATAAGGATCTGAACTTACTTTTTTAACTGCAACATAACTACTTTGGCTAGTGTTTTGCATCATCTTTTTGTCATCATTCAGGGTTCGTTTTCCTGTTTCACCATGATGAGACAATGGCAACTCAGCTCTGTTGCTGAATGCTCTATGGTATTTCTGTTTGCATGTCCATTTGAGCTAGCATAAAACAGGATCCATCATAAAAATTAGTCATCAACATCTGTTTGGTCATCTGACAATATGAAAATGTCAAATGTTAAGTTATTATTTTTTGTATGTTTGTGATTTGTCTTTTAGGCCTTGATGCCTTCCAAGCTGAGAAGGTCATGGAGACTCTTCGTCAACTTGCTGAGGATGGGCACACTGTTATCTGTTCGATACACCAGCCAAGAGGTTCAGTCTATGGCAAATTTGATGACATCGTACTACTGTCAGATGGAGATATTGTATACATGGGGCCTGCAAAAGAAGAACCTCTAACATACTTCGCATCATTAGGGTTGTTATGCTACACCCTTTTCTTTCCTTCCAGTCTTTTCTTAAGTATGTTATTATCATGGTTTCTACTTGATTTGAATGTTTTGCCCTATATATTTTTGTGTGCGCTCACTTTTTGGCTTGCCTGGTGTAGCATAACATAATAAATAATTCATTTCAATCCTGAACAGTGAACATGCACCCCTTCTCAAACCTATTTTTTTTTAGTATAACAAAACAATCAGGCATTGTGGTGTGCACTTTCATTGTTTGCATTTCCAATAAAACTAATTACTTCGTGTCACTGACTACATTCATCCTTGTTGTCATTGTACACATCAAAATTCAATATTAGCTACGCTAGAACTTTTGAAGGTTAATTGTTGCATGTTTGTACCATGCACATGCAGCATGCCTCTAGTCTCTGTCTATTTGAGTTTTGATCAATAAGAAATTGTGCCTTTTCTTTTGTTACGTAAATGGCCAATATATCATGATGTTTATTTTAATTTTGTTAGTATTGCCCATTGATAACTTGAGTTTTGATAATTTATCAGGTATCAGTGTCCAGATCATATGAACCCTGCTGAGTTCTTGGCTGATCTCATTTCCACTGATTATGGCTCAACTGAAAGTGTACACTCATCACAGAAAAGGATTGAGAACCTCATTGAGGCGTTTTCTAACAAAGCTCTGCTCACTGAAGGTAACAGTTTAATTACAACTCCAAACAATCCTGAATTGTCTGTCAAACTTGTTAGGAAGACTACAATGAAGCAAAGGCATGGTTGGTGGAGGCAATTTCGTTTTTGCTTTTTAAGCGGGCATGGATGCAGGTTCATCTCAATATATCTATCCTTTAATCCTGTTTCCAGCTTAACCTTTCTGTGTGTGTGTGAATATATTTTTTAGGTACTTACAAAGGCTAGCTGCTCTGAATATAGCTTTGTTGACATTTGATTTTAACCTAAGCATGTAGACCTTGATGTCATATTTTTACCTAAAGTGTCTGTAGTGTCCACCTATTACCTAACTCTGATCTTTATGAAATATACAGTTTATTGTTCATTTTAATTGATATTGGAGAAGCATTACTGTTCAAAACTTGTAATGTGCTACTTGCATAGCTATAAGATATTTTTGCCTCGAACACGCAGGAAAACTGTGACATTGAAAAAGAATAAATAGCTATAAAATATTTGAGGACAGTTGAGTACACATGTTAAGATGTAGGTTGACTATCTCTTGTCATCCATTGCTTCTAATGTGTAGGATCTTTTGTGTTCAGGCTTTTCGTGATGGACCAACAAACAAAGTGAGAGCACGAATGTCTGTTGCTTCAGCAGTTATATTTGGATCTGTGTTCTGGCGAATGGGAAAATCTCAAACATCCATACAAGACAGGATGGGACTACTTCAGGTAGAATAGTGTGAACCTTGAGGGCTTCTGAAGTTGAATTCCTAGTTTGCACATATTTTGCATTCAGGATAGATGTAACATATTCACCGTCTTCGAACATTTGTCACTTCATATGATTGTTCTGATTGTATCTTCATGAAGTTGTTCTAGAAATATTGTCTGAACATATTTTGTGTTTGATCTTTCTCCTTTTTAATATATGAGTTCAGGTGGCTGCCATAAACACAGCAATGGCTGCACTGACAAAGACTGTGGGAGTTTTCCCAAAAGAACGGACTATAGTTGACAGAGAACGAGCAAAAGGTTCCTATGCACTTGGACCATATCTTTCATCTAAGTTGTTGGCCGAGATTCCCATTGGAGCAGCATTTCCATTGATATTTGGATCAATTCTCTATCCAATGGCTAAACTTCATCCAACATTTTCTAGGTCAGTGTAATTTTAAATCTTTTTTTGGCAATGCTTGGAGACATTATTTTATGTATATCTATCGCAGTTTTGTTTATGGTTGTCTAAAGAACGTTTCACACTCTCCCAGATTTGCCAAATTCTGTGGTATTGTGACTGTTGAGTCATTTGCTGCATCAGCGATGGGTCTCACTGTTGGAGCAATGGCTCCTACAACTGAAGCTGCAATGGCTCTTGGGCCATCCCTTATGACAGTGTTTATTGTATTTGGAGGATACTATGTTAACCCTGACAATACTCCAGTCATATTTCGTTGGATCCCAAGAATATCTCTCATTAGATGGTATTCTTCATTTTTTTCTTGTGATATAAGTTGAGTCTAGTGTAGTAAGCATTGCATCATCTAACAACTAGATGCTATTCTTTTGTCATTAATTTTCAGGGCCTTTCAAGGGCTTTGCATTAACGAGTTCAAGGGTCTGCAATTTGAGCAACAACATTCATATGACATTCAAGCGGGTGAACAGGTAGTGTTTTGGTGACATTCAGCAGAAAAAAAAACTGACCAAAAAGAATCTGGCCAAATGCAAGGGGAATTACTTGGCTTGAAATCTTGTAATGTATTCTAATGAAAATGGCTCATTGCAGTTTGTCCATGGATAGAATTATTGTGGGTATTTGTCAACATCATGATGACCGCATAAAATAATATTTATTTGCTTAATTGCTTTTATGGGAAAAATATTGTTAGTTGATTGTGATTATTTTTTTATTGGTCAACCTAGTGTCTTCTATTTGTTAACTCAAGCCAAGCTGCTTTCAACATTTTATAATTCTATTTAAAGAAAATATTCCAGTTTTGATGTGCTACTTTTATGTGGCAGGCCTTGGAAAGGTTTTCATTGGGAGGAATTCGAATCGCAGACACGCTAGTTGCACAGGGTAGGATTCTGATGTTCTGGTACTGGTCAACCTACCTTCTTCTGAAGAAAAACAGACCAAAGTATCAGCCGCTCCTGCCTCCATTGGAAGAAGATCAAAATAAGCAGCAGGTGGAATAAGTGTCTCGTTGCAGACTTCCATAGAATAAAATAAGGTAGGGCATCTTTTCATCAATCATTTCTTTGCAGTGGTCCCAAATCAATAAAAAGGCTTTATGTGTGGGGAACATACTGCAATTAGCAACGCAATCAATGTACTATATTGAATCTTTGTTACTTCTATACCTTTCTGTTCGTAATTGTTTCCATCGCTTAAGCTTTTCTCATGTTGAATGGGAAATTATCACCAATAAAACTTGCCCTGGACCCTAGTTAGAGTTACTCTCACATGGAATATGAACTCCCAGTCCCACGATGACAGTGCAGCCATCATATAGTCATTTCAGTATCTTGTTATTCTCTATAGTTTGCTGCTGTTGTTGTCGAGAAATGACTTGAGGATTTGTGTGACCAACAATTTGGGTAACTCTGCAGTCTACATGACCCACTGAGATTAACACTTGTTAGCTATGAAAATGTTAAATCACATCTCACTTCGTTGCTGTAGTTTGAGCTGATGCTCGTTGCACATCGTTGGTTACTTGGCTGGCTGGATCACAATGATAACTGAAAACCCATCTTAAGTTCTGTTGTTTGTTTAGGTGGGTATTTCGATTCAATTATACGAGCTAAATTGTAGAAGATTTATAGCAAACCCCTCATCTTAACACGCCTTAGATTCTTCTGACACCTCACATCACTAAGATGCTCTACTGAACTTTTTTTTAAACATAAGTGGGAATACAATACAATACAGACCAAATCTTAGTGAGCCAGCAAAGTAGGTATTGCAGGTGAAAGTGTGAAACATGTGTTAGTGTTGTGTTCACCTCCAACACGGCCCTTTAATTTGTGTTTCCTTGTCGAAGCTACACCACTTTACCATCTGATTTCCCCACCCATTGTTGATGTGGTTCTCTCTTTGCAGTATATCGCGAGTCAGAACGAGGCCGCGCCTTCTGCACAGTATCTGGTTATGAGAGGACCCCAGCATTATGGACGAGCCGAGGCAGAGGCAGTATACAATCCGCCGCCCAGAAGCCTTTTTTTTTTTCAGATCCTCCTAGTTGAAGTCAGCTCAATGATCAGAGATCGCAGCAGAGCCGTTGTTTCTGTTCATGATTGCCTGGGGCTGGGGCCATGCCGCTGCAAATAAACTATCTCCAAATCACCGTCCAAAGTACGAGCACCGGCAGAGTGGCAGTAGTACTAGTTTCTTATGGTTTAATCTCTGTACGTGTCAGCCTCCGGTTGGCCGGAGTGAGATAACTAATCACTCGTCTGCGTACACCTCAGACGCGTGAAGCCCATAAATGCGTACACCTCAGACGGTTGGCCGGAGTGCCTATAAATGCGTGCCCATTTGGGCTCGAAATTCTCATCAGTTTCGATTGATTCTTCTTCCCTCTCCCTCGATCCCCAGTTTGGTTGTGCAGTGTTCTCTTTCTTGCCTGACATACAAAGATCAGCTCCTGAGCCGATCCATGGCTGCTGCTTCTTCCCTCTCCCGTCCAGTTCCAGCAACGCCGGCCGCGCTCCGGCACGGGGCGGCGTGCCACGGACCGGCTCTACCGAGGAGGGCGCCCCCGGCGGCGACAACACGATGCGCCGCGCTACGCCGGGACGCGAGCGGCGGCCGGGGCCAGTACGGGGGCGCGCTGGTGGACGAGGGCATGTCCGTGCTGCGGCGGCGGATCCGGGAGGCGCGGATGGCGGAGACCAACTACGAGGCGCCCGCCGAGTGGGCGCCGTGGGAGAAGCGGTACTACCCGGCCTACGTCTCCGACGTGTCCAGCCTCGTCGGCGCGCTGCAGCTGCTGCTCATGGGCACCAGGCCCGGCGTGGCCATCGCCGTCGCGGCCCTGGTGCTCGCCAGCGTGCCCGTGTCCGCCGTCGCCGCGCTACACCATCTGGCGCTGGTGGCCGAGGCCGTCCTGCAGTCCGTGCATCACATTTCTTGATCCAGTCAGACCATTTTTTTTTTCTCTTTTTTCTTTTCTTTTGTGGCCTTGAGGCAGTCTGCCACGTGTATAGTATTGGAGACTTGTAGTAGCAGTTCTTTGTCTGCAGCTGGATTGGAGCAAATTGCTAACCAATGTTGGATTCCTAAGACCGGCTTGGGTTTCTGAAGATGACGAGGGATTTGCAGTATTTGCAATTAGATTTGCTGCACTGAAAGTGAAACACATTCAGAATGAACCTATCCGTGGAATTAATAATAAAATTGAGAAACATTGATGCAATTCTAAACAGCTTGTACCAAACCGAATCGATTTTTTCTGTAATTCTGTGTTAGGCTGTGCCTTACTGCCTTTTACTTTTTTTTTTCACAACAGTAAAACCGAATTTCATTACTTGCCTCAACGAAATTACAACTTTTACTGTACTGCCAAACAGAAAATTTCGATTCACCAATTATTTGAGAACTAATGATGCATCGAATTTGCGGTCCATCATTATACCATTCTGCCTTATTATTTGAGTACTAATGATGGACCGCAATATACGGAATACAGTCCATTGAGCATAACTTGAAGTAATGTTGAGAGGTCTAAGCAAGTGGCAGGCTGGCTCCTCTGCTCCCAGCTGAAACAGTCATCGGATTCGGATAGCATGGCCAGCTAATACAGTCATCTGATAGCGTTTGACACCGGCGAAAGCAATTGAGATGGAACGTGCAACCATAACAAAGGTTGTTTCGTAATAGAAGGGGCAGCGCAAATAACTTGCATAGTTAGTTTTTTTAATTATATTTTTTTGGATTTTCTTACGTGAAAACATTATTTATATGTAGTTTTTTTTTGTTTGCTTGTATTGTCCTCTCTTTCTATATGCGTTCTTACTGTATTTATTGACACGACTCTATATAGCTATCATCAATTAATTCCTCTATTTAAAGCTATTGTTGTCTCTCTTCTCTTCATTTTTTTCCCACGCCAATGTCCTTCATTTTTTTTTGGTGGGCTGCATTTCTCAATAAAAACATTGTTGAAATCTCTCGCAAATTATTCAATTGCTTAGACATTTTCTAAGTTGTACATTTTATTGTCAATTTGTGGTTGTCTTTTTTCCCCTAAAACTTGGAACGAAGGGAGTACTATTTTAGGGGCTAAAGAAAAAAAATCAAATAGCATGATCGATCACCATCCCACTCCTCAAACTAATCACTTTCGTATCATAGTCAACATCTATGGTAATAATGTGTGAATATATATAAAGCAATGGATCGGTGCAATTTTCAAACAGAGCGTGTGATTTCTGCGCATAAGAAGTAAAGGGCGTGTTCGGCTGGCTTGTTCCGCCACTCACAAAATCACTGTTCACGTCCTGCCAGAACAGTATTTTTCTCTCACAACAATCAGCCGGAACAGTATTTCAGTCCTGCCGAACAAGCCCAAAGAATGAGATTAGAATAAAAATGCTTTTCCGCCATCTCATTCAAAGGAACCTTGGAGGAAATTCCCTAGTGGGTTATATAAACGGATATCATTTCGTTTGAAGGAGCCTAAAAGAAAATGACACTTGCTGAATTCAGAGACGGCATCTTTAATATGATGCTCTTCTTTCTGTTGCACCTGCCATCCACATCCATGTGCCCAAGTTGGATCATTGAACCAAAAACCAGTGTACTTTTCAAAGAAAAAAACTAACTAGCTTCGTCATTTATGTCAGCAGAATGTGCCGATTTTAGCTAGCTGCTGCTGTTCTGTGATCAATCAAACTGATAAAGGTGCCGTCAGGGTTATTAGAGTCGGCTGCACGTCCAGACGACCAGACATTTCCCAGCTGAACCAGAAAAACGGTGCCTGATCGATGCGGACGAAACTGCAGCGAAAACCTACGTACCACACGCACTCGGTTACGTAGCTATCAGCTAAACGCGTCGACAAAAGTCTGTCCATTGAACCTGACAACTGCAAATTCTCAGTACGCGTTTTAGGGGCTCCCAGTAATCAATGCCATCCTAATCTTGAGATACGTGGCTTGAATTACATCTTGAGTAAAAATAGTAGCATATGTATTACTAGAGATTCTAACGGTCTATTTTTTTTATTATATCATCATTATATTACATAAAAGTTATAAAAGAAAATGGCGTTATTATTTAATTATGTTAAAAATTAACAGTATTCCAATGTAAGGGTAGCCACAATGATAGCCTGTTCGCTTTTGTCGTATTTGGCTTATAAGCCATAACTTATCGTACAAAACTAAACGGTATTTTTCTCTCATACCAAACCAAGCTAATGAAGATTTTCAAATTATGGCTTATAAGCCAAACAAGCCCAAACGAACAGGGCATATATGCATAGGAGACACGTGACCATTCCGAAGCTGCTATTATTTTCTCACAATGTTCAACCAATAAGTAGTCTATGAGGTGAGTCCACCCGAGACAAAAATAATTTTCCATTTCTAACATGGGTAGAATGTGGACAAAGAGGAAGGAGTAACACAAATAACATTTTTTTATTCTCTATATTTGAATAGTCCATAAGTAGATAGGTACCTCTTTTATTATGGACTACTCTAGGCTAGTCTCGTAGTGTTTTAACTAGCTGTAAGTTATTTTAATTCTTATAGACGTCTTTTGAATAAGATTGTGATTGCTCTAAATTAATGGAGTAGTACTGATTAAGCATAGACAAAAAAATTCATGTGTTGAAGGGTCATACTAAAACAGTTGAATCTTTACATATAATATGTTTTATTGAGACAAAGCATAACATTATTTCTTCTCCGTCGTTGTCACTTACGCACCCCGAGATAAACTCTTCTAAATAAGAGGGGAAAATAATTCTTCTTTTAATGAAAAGGCAGAGCAGTAGAGCACCAGCACGGGCACCAGCACCTGCACCTGCTGCCAGTGTTCCTAAAAAAAGAGACAACCAGCACCAGCAACTGCACCTGTTGCCAGTGTTCCTAAAAAAAGAGAGACAGACGAACCGATCGAAGTGAACCGACCATAATGACCTGGTAGCTTAGGGAGCAAGCATTGGGCTGTGAGCTAGAGATCGATCGAGCCCGCCGGCCGGCCGTTCACTCTGCGGCTTCGGCTCCATTGCACTTGCCGGCGCGGCGCGAGTGCGCATTACTACAGTGGGACAACGCGTTTGCATGCAATTTCTACGCATCGCGGCGCGGGCGGGGCCGGGCGATGCATGTGCGCGGGCATACGCGCAGGCAGGACAGAGGACTTAGACAGGGAGTGAGAGTGATTGATATGACGATTGACGTCGACCGGCCGCGCGAGCTGAGGCCCGTCGTCGACAACGTCAAAACTGGTACGCGCGCCGGCGGTCTCACGGAATCACGGGCATGGGCGCATGGCTAGCTAAGCTACATATAGTGTAGCATGGACTCGTAGTAGCAGCGTGACGTAAATGTTAATCGACGCTACTGAATCCCGCGTTGGAATTACCTAGCTGATTGTCGTTGACAGCGTAGTATGTGCATGCATGCTCATCCGCCCATCCAGCTTGTAACGCATTAGGACGTGGACGTGCATGCCTGCGTGCGCGAACTCATCGTGAGTCATGACGTGTAGCAAACGCCGGCCGCCGCCGCCCGGCATCGTTCCTTCCCAGCAGACTCCCGGCCGCGCACCGTCGCCGGGGCGGCGGCCGTAGCTTATTGGGTCAACATCTATCGTCTATCCTATCACGTATGCGTGCCTGCCGACCAGCCGCCAGGTAAGCTAGGTCACCACTTGCCGTAACGGCCATCGGATTCCATCACTTGACCGCCCGCCCGTATCCTCGCGTGCCAACAGCAATCCGCGCGACCAGGGGCCTCCGTGCATGAGCCCCCGAAGAACATGCGCGCCATCTTCTCACCGCCTGATCGATCCCGACCCCAGGTCCCAAACCAACGACGACGCCAGCGCCTATATAAACGTAGAGCTTGCGTGCAGCTGCAGCGTCGTCCTCCACCCATCGGTTCCATTCTTTCCTTCCATTCCACTTCAAATCACAGGCCGGCGCGCGCGCATCGATCCACTTCTCTCCCTCTTTCCAGTCTCATCGCATTGCATGCTTGCCCCCCTCGCAATCAATCAGAGAGTTCTCTGATACATCATACATATACCCTCTGCTCGCTTCTTGAATTGCTCCGCCGCCGACCAACACGACAGAATGCACCCCATGATGAGCTGCGAATTCGCCGCCGTCCGCCTCCCTGGCCTCCTGCCGCTCCGGTCGGGCCGCATCAGCCGACCATCTCCGCTGCCGCCGCCCGCCGTAGCCAACAATAAGAAACCCGCTGCCTCCACCTCCGCGCGCTGCCGCTGCGCGTCGTCCCGCCGCGACGACGCGGATGAGTTCAGCTGCAACGGCGGCAGCGGCGGCGGCGGGGGGAGGCTGGTGGACGAGGGGATGGTCGTCCTGCGGCGACGGATCCACGAGATGGAGGCCGCGGAGCGCGGCTGGGCGCCTCCCGAGGACTGGGCGGCGTGGGAGAAGGAGTGGTACGCCACCTACGACGCCGACGTCTGCCGGCTCCTCGGCGTCCTCCAGGCGTTCCTCGTCAGCTCCCGGCCCGGCGTCGGCGTGGGCCTCGTCGCCGTGCTCGTGCTCGCGGTGCCGGCCTCCGCCTTTGTCCTCGTCTCCCTCCTCCTCGATGCTTCACGCGCAATCGTCTCCAATCTGCAACACTGATCAAACTGACAACACGCACGCATGATCAATATATATACTAATATGCATTCTTTCGTTCCTTAATTACTCTATCATCACACGCGCCCATCATACGTAATGATCTTGTCCTGTGTGCATTATAACTCTGTGTTCATGACAATTGGTACAAACAAGAGAATATCAAAAAGTGACTGTGACTGCTTATGAGTATCTTTTTTTTTTCTTTTGCGAAGGTATGAGTACCTGTATGATCGTTTGGATGTGGCTTGTCGTAAACGATCGTAAATTTTCAGCCGGAACATTATTTTCTCTCACACAAACCAGCCAGCAGTACTTCTTCACGAACCAGCAACGATACGAACCAGCCAACCGAACAGGCTGATGATTCTATCTTATTGTATGAAGTCCTTGCCACTACACTAATAGTCACTGTAGAGTCTGTGGATTCAACCAGCGCAGTGACTTTCATTTTCGCATTTTTATATACTTTATTATTACATTTACATATATGTTACTATCTAATATTTTATATCTGATACTAGTAATGCATACATAGTTATACCATACAAGTGGATAATGAATACATCATAATTAGAAAAGATACATACATGATAGGTAGATATGGAGTCATTACAAACTAAAGTCCATACAAACAGAATTACAGATGATGACCTCATTGCTACAAAACAAGTGGAGCCACTAAAAAAATACCCTTATACACGACGGTTTACTTTAGTCACAGACAAGCAAAAATGTGTCACAGTTAACTCACCATGACGATCAAAAAAACGTCATGTCCGCGTCATACATTTGTTGGTCCAAATTGAGCCATCATAAATTGACATTTAAGTTTGTCATCGATTAGTTGTCCGTTTATTATATCCAGCCCAGATCCAAACCATAGTGACGAAAAAGAACATCACATATTAGTGTGAAATCATCGCTGCATTAGCATGCAGCACATCTCATAATACACCAATCATACAAACAAACATTACTTCTTTCATTTCTTGGCATGTCCACTATTGTCACATATAGTTTGAGGACAATCAATTCACAGCCAAACTAACTGGTACGTCTGAACATCTCTAGGGAGTCTAAAATAAACAAACATATGAACTAAGATTTCATCTCTAAAAATTTAATTGGCTTGCTGTCCATATGATGTGCTACTAAGCACCTCTAGGAGCTACCTGAAAATCAATGTGAATATGAAATAAGTTAGTTCTAAGCAAATATTCTAAAAACAAATGACATCTATTTATCAGGAAACAATCAAAGTCGATTGTTCTAGGATTGCACTAGTCAAGCTCTGTAGTAACAAATAAAACTGATGGTTGCAATACTAGCGTGTGGTAGAAAAACCAATAAGTGACCAACTTGAACAAGAAATCTTTGATTACTCCGTGGAGTTGACAATGTTGTGGCAAACCATTTTTCTACATTCAACATAAAAACCATTTTTATAGCACTAGCATGTAAAAGAATGCAGCTTTGTCAATACCAAATTTCCCATGCAAATCAGCGCACAAGTAGTAACTAGTATAATACCCGTGCTATCGCTATGTCAGCATATAACCATACAAATCAAATAAACAAAAGGCATATATGTCCAAGTTATTGAACACAAACAGAGGAGCATTTAAAAAAAACTTCATTACATAGGAGCATCTAGCTCATGGTATTTCATAGCATGGTTCAGTTATCTTGGGCAAAAAATACACAATAGACCAGCTGCTAGTTGATGGTTTATTTACCAACAGATTAACATGGCTTAGTAATCCGAATAAAAAACTGCAATACAGAGGAGCATCTACCTGATGTTATTTGGGAAAAAAGCATGACAGCAGTTTACGTTCATAGTTCACTATAGAATTACTTGATTAACTAAAAGAACTATATGTAGTGCCTGTCTGTGAATCTAACAAAGACTAAAAGAGTCATTCTAAAATAGAACCTTAAAGACTAAAATTATGAAACAAATTTACATGGCCAAAATTTTAGATACTTAATGGTAGCCAATGTTCCATGGCTGACCATTTATATACTGAATGAATGTTTGTGATAGAACAACTGAATGACAGTTATAGATCATTGCATATACTTTTTCACCTAACAAACCACCAAATAGATCCCAAATTACCACAGAAAATTGCAACCCCCACATCCAAAATCTCTACAACTCAAAAGGGGTCAAAGGCAATTTAATTAGCTTCTTGATGGTTTCATAAGACGTCGTTGCCTTAGGCTTTCAATTGGCGGTCGGCCAAAATCCAGCAATTGCATATACGAAAACATGTAGCATTAGATGCTATCGAGTATTCTCAACAGTTTATGAAAGGACCGTGATGTCGTCTAGAGGGGGGTGAATAGGCTGTTTAAAACAAACTCACAACGGAAGTTAAATTCTAGTTAATTGACCTTTGTTGCTCCAAAGGTGCGACAGACTTGCCATTACTCTGACCTTTGCCTCAAAAAGTCTTGGCACTTGCCGCAGACAAGATCGAACTACAATTCAAAAATTGCCCAAGGAAAAGTAGATCGAATAAATTACTAATGTTCACGGGAAATTTGAATCAATTGATGAGTTGAGCACATCACATAGTTTTAGATTGATGATCTTCCTATGATAGCACACACCATTTGAGAAACACATTCTCATTTAGTGAGACTACACAAATCATTTAGAGAGAAAGATTAGCCTCACAATACTAGTCATAGAGTAAATTCCTTTTGATAAGTGCTCTAAGTATTTGAATTTCTCACATAACACTTTATTCACTTAATAACTTGGGATTTCACTCTATGTCTATGTCATGGCAACAATAGTATAATCAAATTAAAATATGCCAAGAAATACTTACAACCATTTGAGCATGTAGAATGCCATAAGATGAGAATGATAATTTGGCAATCTACCATATGACAAGATTTCATCAAGTAGAGGTTTCTTGAATTATGAGTGATAAGCACCTCTACTTTAATTTGAGCTTGATTCTTTATTCTTGGTTTTTTTGAAATTTATTTACATCCTCAAATGTGAGCCAAGTTTCAAAATCCTTTAAACCAACTCATAGTATGTGTGAACATAAAACTTGCTTCATCTTGATATTCTTGGTTTGAAGTCCACAAAGAAAACCCAAGTCATGTATGTTGCTTGGCGTGGATGATCAATTCAATTCCAATCATATTTTTCTTCCAAAATGACCAATAATCAATGTATATCCTCAAGTGTTTTATTTTTCTAAGTGGCTACACAAGATACAAAGGAGTAAAATTTGAAAATATCATGCACTTGTGATTTTAGAGATTACCACTCCTTTTCAATGTTTTGGTGAGCTCTTGGTTGTGGCACTATAGATTGGTCTTGAGTTGACCTTCCATTTGAGTTTCATCTTCTTCTTGCTCAAAGATGGGTTGTAGGCTTTGTCCTCGAACTGGACTGTTGAATCAGCTCCTACGGACTATGTAGGTGCGGCACTACCGCCCTCAAGTGCGGCAGTGCTGCGTGCCGGAGTTGCAGCAGGTGTTTGTTGCAGTGTAGCATCAAGTACGTCAGTGGAAATAGGTGCAGCAGCAACTTGAGGATCCTCCTCTGTAGTGGCCTAGATTTCTTGTGGTCTAATATCACCAATAGCCATTAGCTTGATTGCCTTGCAAGGTGGTTCCTCATTTCCTACACCGTGAACAAGATATTGCTCTACTAGAGAGCCATTAAAATCATCATATGGTAAATGATTCATTAAACTTGAAATACTCTAGCCACTCTTAACAATTCACAAACACACACATATTTGTGAACTACTAGAGACTACACAAGTCAAGTGGCTAGCTAGGAAGGGTTAGGTACTAGTTACCAAGGTGAGTATGAAGTTAGAAATATATCCATCAAGTTGTCCTTGGGTCAATCTTGAGAAAATAGACAATATGAATAAGATTGATAGCTTGAGATGATATTTTCAATTAACTTGCTCAAGCACCCCAAAGCTTCATACCACCTTCAAGTACCTACAACACTTATCGAACACAACTTGGTACCCAAACTATGTTGGGTCCATCAAAGTTAGTCACAAGAGATTTAGATACCCAAATGGCCTTTGTGCTAGCACGTGGTGAACAAATCACCTTTCTAGCATAAGTGTTATTTTTGGGCCTCCTAAGCAAATTTGAATCAATCGATGAGTTGAGCTTAGAAATGTTACCCATGGTACAATCCATACTTAGATGTCCCTTTCCTCGACAAGTGTAGCAAATGCGGCGCTTGATCTTGTAAGACATCTTTTTATCTTGCTTCTTGTTTGCTACCATGCTAATGAGCCTCTTTCTTGATGACACAAGGCTTTCACTTTTCTTGTTAGAACATGAGCCAATTTCATGTCCCTTCTCATTACAACCATAACACTTCCTCTTGTTTCTTCTTGTCTTCTTCTTTGGAAGTGTGGCTTGGTCAACAATCTTGTTGGAACACATAGAGGCATTGTGTCCCATGTTGGAACACTTGAGGCACTTGACATGAGCCATCTTCTTTTTCTCTTAAATCTTACTCATGCCTTTGTTTTCTTTCTTCAAGGAGCAATCTCTTATATGGTGACCCTCCTTCTTGCACCTAAAGCAAGTGATGAGAGTCTTCTTTGGTTGAAGTTGCCCCTTGGTGGCCTTGGGGGCTTTGTTGTTCTGCCCAAGTGTGGCACTGCCGCACTGTGATGCGGCACTGCCGCATCCTGGGACCTCTACAGCCTTGAGCTGAACTGCTGCATTTTGGACAGATTGCACTTCTTCAAATTTTCACTTGACTTTGGCCCTGTTGGACTTGTGTCCTTCTTGATGGGGCTTGATGCATGCTTTGGTTGATCCCTTCTCAAGCTTCTTCACCATGTCTTCACAGTTATCTTGAGAAGGTTGAGCATTGCACTTTTCCCTTTAATTGAATCAAGTCCCTTTTTAGCCTCTCAACTTCTTCCTTGAGCTCTTCATTTTCTTTTGTAATGGAATCATCACAAATTTCTACAATTACATGCTCA